GGCCGCCGTCGGCAAGGGATACGGCGCGTAGCGATAGGTGGTGGGGGTGGGTGTCGCGACCATCACCAACTCACCGTATGCGCCTCTGCTGGCCGCTCGCGTCTTCGCCAGATTCGCTGGAAGCATCACTTCCTTTGGCTGTGCCTTCTTGCATTCGACCTTGAAATTTTAGATAGAGCAGATAAAGAAAGAAGAACGAGTAAGAAAGACAATCCGGTCGCACATTTCACAATCATCTATTAGAACTGTCGAAATCTTGATTGTGCATCGTTGTAGCAACCCATACAGCACAAATCACTCCAGCAATATTACAGCAACATTACAATGCAGCAACAATACAAGCTTCTATGCTGTATGGGAGATAATGTATGAACCATTCTCGACAAGAAGTTAAAAAAGAAATTAAAAATATTATTATTATCATCAGTTGTTGCTTATACTATTTCTGTTAATCATTAGGTAGATAAAAGTACTGAGATTGATTTTTGTTCAAAATTTCGTAAAGAAATAACTAACTATAGAGAGTGGAGTTAAAGAGAATATCGACTGGATCAGCGCAGCGAGCTTACTTCAGGATTATTGATACGAGGTGGCATCAAGAAAATACTTGACCGTCGTGAGAGAGCTTTTCGTTGTAGCGTAAACAAAGACTTCTCTTACCAGAGGAACTGTGTACAGTTCTTCCCTTTTTCGTTTACGATTTCTCCTGCATGTACATTCCACATGAGTGTCAAATATAAATAACAAAGATAGACCTTCTCGATTATACGGAAAATTAATTCTGCTCAACGTTATAGACGGGGAGCAGAAGGCAAATACCTTTTGACGCGACCTCTGAGGTTATATAAAGTAAAGGGAGAATACCCCTTGGAAGAGGGGGTTTGTTCTACAAGTAGACTTCAGACTGGCTACTCACCATTTTGTTGTTAATTTCGTGGAAATGGATCTCGCAGACTTTGTCGACGACATCCTCGCTTTGAAACGTGACAAATCCAAAGCCTGAAAGAAAATACATAGACTCTTGTTAAATGTTTATTACATTTTTATATTTAATATGATAAATTGAAATAGCAAATAACTGTAGCAATATATGATATAGATTTGATATTATTTTTCTTCCAAATTTAATTTTATAATTTCTCACATTTTCCAATATTGCAGTTTTAATAAAACAAATTGCAACGATTTTTAATTATATTTATTATTCATATAAAAAATAGATCGTATGCCATATTATATCACGTTAGATGATAAAGTTGAGGGATTACGTTATTTATTATAAGTATAATGATACTTGGCGTTTGATCAAATTAATCCACATTAATAAAAAAAAAGAAAAAATGCGTCTACGTAATTTTGAATTAGAGTAACCGGTAGTGGTAGAGATGCGTGCGAGAGCTCTCCGATTTTGCTGCATATTCGCGGGGATAAGAAACCATCCTGGATTTCCATTAATTTAGCTGACGGAGTAAACGAGTCTCGCTTCTTCCCTCGTACCGCACGAAAACGCGGTCTGTAAGCGAAATCTCCGCGAAATTTATTTCAGCCGAAGACGAACAGCGGGGAAGGAGAGACAGCGAGCCAGTGAAGAGAGCCGTAACTTAATCAAGCATCAAGGGTTATTAAAAACTTTGCATTGCTCTCCGGGCGATTTTAATCTTGCCCTTTCCACGCGCTCGTGCCGGGCGGCGCTTCTCTCCTAGCTAGTAATTCAGCCTCGAGATATCCGGCAAGAGCGAGTTATACGAATCTAGCGCGCGATGTTGCAACTTAAGATAACCACGATTTAGTGCTTCCGTACCGAAGCAGTTGCCGAAGCTGCGTTAGGTGACCGTAATTAAATGCATCCGGTGGTCAACCGGTAGGAATGTAAACTGGCGATCCGCGATTCCAGACCGGCTCTGTGAGGAAGTTAGCATAAAGTGCGGTCAAAGACTGCAAAGATTATTAATTTTTACGTAACTTATCTCTTCTAATATTATCAAAATTGATATCGACGAATAAGAGGTTTAGACGTTTAATGATATATTATATAGAAAATAGTAAGCTTAGCAGACGAAAACGGGAGAACTGAAGAAAAAGGAACAATAGATTTGTTCGCGTTGTTCGTACTTTTTACATTCAAGATCTTCGCTTTCTCTTTTTTCGAAATATACTATACTCTGAATATATATTTATCTCATTTTAAGTGCATTAATTTTTGAGGATATCAAACTAACAAACATATTTTATATTCTTTACAACAAAATGACGAAGATTATCCAGAAAATTAGAATGTTCAAATTTATTTAAGAGGTAAGAATTTAATTAGAATGTGCAATCGATCGAGGAAATAATGTTTACGATAGATATCGTACGTTTAATTGCGAAATAAAACGATCAGGTCGGAGCCGTTACTTTAGGAAGAAAACTTGCTAACGTTGAGACAATATGTGCGTGACACATTCAATTATTCAACGCTGACACCATTAATCGTTCTCTGCCGGATTCTTTCTCTCTTACATCTTCTACGCTATTCGTCTACGGCATACCCACTCTCATCTCGACCGTTTCGTTCCGTCTCGTATCCTCTCATCCACCTAAGCTCCTCCTCTTGCTATGGGTATAGCACGAGTGATTAAGTTATAAACTTGGCAAGACGTCCGTTTGAGCGCGGAAGGGGCTTACTTCATTTATGTAATTTATAGTACTCTGCCAGTCTAGCTAACTCCACGGAGCCCAAGCACTCCCCTAACACAAAGGCCATGTCCTGACACCGGTAACATTTAACTACCCTACCTTAGCCCCCTCCTTCTATTACTTTGACGATTCTCTTCCCGTGAGCATAGCGCGGCGACGACTACCGTTGACATTCCTCGATAGCGTTCGTCTTTTCAACCGCGTTGCGTAGAGATTAAATAATCTCCCTTTAAGGAGATGGATACATCTTAAAACTTTACCAAAAATTTTAATAAAAATTTCATAGATTGTTCATTACTATGTCTGAGAATCCGTCCAATATTACGTCTGAACATGTATGTAAAATTTGAATACAATTCTCTTATTGGTTTAAATGTTATTTAATTTTTTTGTTAGTCTTCATTCTTATATAAAATTGAGTTTTGTAATACCTATTTGCAAATTTGATGAAGAAGTAACATTAAGAATTAAACCAAATTTTAAACGTATACTGATCAAACGATAATAAATATTTATGCAAAGTTTATTTGGATCCACTTATTCGCTTAAAAGTTATTGACCTAAAACTGTAAAAAAATACAGTCACATTTTGCTGTATAAAACCATTATAAGCTCAATTATTTCTTGTTTTATTTTTTTGTAGTTGTTTCAGGACATATTTATGAGTTAGTATCAAACATCAACATTTTTTGAATGATATTGGCTGATATTAGCTTATTTTGGCTAATTGTTTGATTGATATTTTTAGCTAATATTGTATCCAAACATCCTTAAGAGAAAATAAAAAAATGACAATTATTATGAAGAAAATAATATTACTTTTGATATTATATTCCTCAATAAACAAGCTTCAAAATATCTTTAATAAGATAAAATCTTGTACTTTTTAATCGTCTCGAAGGACGTCTCGTGGAACGCTTCAAGGCTATTATCTTTAAGCTCCCTTTATAGCGTCGAGAACGACGAGGGATGACCGGAACATAGGATGAATGTGCTAGCATAGTCAGCGATCCGCGGAAGACCCAATAAATTGTGAGTGGTGAGACGTTCCTCTCTCGACCGAATTTTCATAAGGAAATTTATCTATCGTGGTTGGGCGACCACAGTCACCCCGCAAAGCTCCATTTTAGTGCCGTAGCCAACGTACAAAAGAACGTAACCGTTTTCGTCGATCGGTCGGCCTCATAGAGTTGAATGAGGCGAGGAAAAAATGCGTGCTCAGCTGACCGATTTTTCATCGCCAGATGTGCCCATTTTAATAAAAAAAGCATCTCGAGATATCTTTCATTTTGTGCTCGTGGTCCATCCTTTTGGCCTCTGAGAGCTCTTTAAATGACCTATAAGTCCTTTAACGGTGTGGAATTATCGTCGCAGTTTCTCCGTCGCGAAATTATGGCATATCCTTCTTATGAGGATGCAAATCGGAATATTTTATGGTTTTGTAAAAGTCGTGAAGTCATAGCGAAAAAAATTATTTACGATCCGATTACAAAGAGAATGGTCATCTAAATGTGTTATGTTGGACCTAAATAAAAAGTTGGTGAACCTCTCATTATTATAGATAGTATTGTAGAATGATATCAAATTATTATTTGATTTGTTGTAATTAATATAATATATCACAGCATCTATATTGATAGCTGATGTAAATAAAATACATACTATTATTTAAACTTCGTAAAAATGTACATTTTATTATACAGTAGATACTATAATATAAGAATGTAGTATACTTGATCGATAAAGTTAATTATAGAAAAAAGATATTTAATCTTAACTCACCAATCAAGGGTCTAGGAGACTCTGTCAAAACGTGTATATTTCACAAATCATAGGAACAATTAATAAAATTCAACTTTGGATGACACGTTTCTATTCTATATTGTTCAAAATTGTTATGGAAAATTATTGACGAATTATCCGCACGGTATCCGCATGAGCAAAAAATGTGTTTGGTGAGCTAACGAATTGAGATTACACTACATTTGAAGAACTTACATCAGCACAAAGATATTTATTTATCATATTACACAATAGGTATGTACAATGAGATGAAACGGGAGCATCAATAGGAAACATCATACGGAAACAAGATTTTTGTCATGTAACTCTACTCCGTCTTGCACAAAGAAATTGAACGCGCACGAAGGAGAGAACAACAGTTCTCTGTTCTCACTATCGTCTTCCTTCTACTTAGCGGCATAGCACTCTTCTTTACCCCTTCGCCGCCGCCCCCGTCGACCCCTTGTTTCTTCCTATACCGCTTGTTCTCCCTCCGATTCTCGAGTATAATGCGACCCCGCTATTGTGCCGAGCGAGCGCGTGTTAACGTTTAAAAGCCGTGCGGCGCGGCGGCCGGCGAACACGTTTCAGAATTTTATCGTGCATTGAGAATAAAGGTAAAAGGTTTCTTTCAAAAGGCACGCCGGCGGAACGATTTAAAACTTGTAAATGGATACGAGGAGTTAGACCTCCGCGCTCTTTCCATCTTCCTTCGGCCATACCCTTTCCACCTTCGCCCTCGACTGCACATAAAACTTCCGCGAACTTTTGTTTGTTTCCCGCGATGTATTTACGACGCGGAATCTCGGTGATCGATACCGAAAGAGCTCGCAAGCAACATAGTGACTATTTTATTTTTAATGTCGTTGGATTTTGATGGCTCGTTTTACGAGGAGTGCCGATAACAATAATAGTTATTTCACTGGCACGAGTCGCTTCATGTTGAGATTTAATATACTGCTATAGTGTCAGTCTTGCGATTGATTCTTTTGCAACTTCATTTTTCCCAATAATAAGCTAAATAATTAATATTATTGCTTTCATTATTAATATCATCCAGATAAATGAGATAAATTTGACAAGTCGAACATTCTTGACAAAAATAGTATGTAAATTTAATGTAGTTATCCTTCACGTCAGAATCTAGTAACGTCAGAGTCGTACAGTTATTATCGATCATATAATAGTATTCTTCTCAAATATATTCAATAATTATTAATATTACGGGGGTTATTCTATTTTTAATGTCGTCAAACTTTGATGACTTATTTTACGAGCGACATCGACGGCAGCGACATCGACGGTACCCATAACGGTTCTTTTAACGTAGTTCTAACATTGTAAAGAAAGTCATTTTATGTTGAGATTAAACAACAAAACTTCGTTATTAATTTTCTTTTATTTAACGTAATGTTCGACGACATAATTACCACGTTGTCAAGTAGACCCATCTTGTAGAGAACAATTTATTCATCCATAATTGAATAAAAATAACATGATACTGGTAGACTGACAGTTATAATTTTTCATATAATATT